CATAGTAAAGAATAAGTGATGGAGCAACATAATGATTAACATTCTTGAATGATAAAGCTCCCTTTCCTTATGAATGTTCAACAATAACATCAGCTTATCTACTCTTTCTTGAATAAGCAAAGTAAATATGGAACCAATCTTTGACAAATGTCTTACCTTCAACAATTTATCTAACTTCAGGATTTCCAGATCTAATAATATAATTATATAAAATTACCCTAATTAATCAGTATATGTATAAGTATAGAAATTAAGTGTTTAATCTCTAGTATCAAAGTAACAACTAAGTGTATCAAAATTAAGTGCATCTTCACCAGCAAGAGTAGATGTTAATCTGAATAATAATTAATCTTTTTCAGATGTCTTACCATTCCATTTGAACCATCCTTAAACAGAATATTATTCAGTTGTTCCGAATCTATCACCAGAATTAACTGGATTTCCATTGAATTATGAAGCCTTGGCTGAGACTGCTCTAATCAAACCTTTACTTGAACAATCCTTTTATGGTTGAGGATTGCAACTTAAACAAAATGGATTATATTCTTCTAATGTATCAAAGAATGATCCTGATCCTAATCTTAAAACTGGTCTATGGAATTAACCATTAAATGAATAATATCTATCTTATGGATCCTTTCCACCAACTTAGAATAATAATTATTCCATTCTTGGATGTGTGACTTTGGCTTCTAAGGTAATTGGAGCTTAATTCTCAATCTAATAAAATGCAATAGCCTTATATCTAGTATAACTGAAATAAGTGTAAATCCAAACTCCTTCAATATCTCCAAATGGTTAAGCTAATTCTACTAATTTCTTAGCTTTATTATTAGCAGTGATATAAAAGAAACCAACTTTTCCTTAGAAAATAGTTAATAAACCATCTCTAATATCTTTTGGTGTTTCCTTCTTATTTGTAAGACGGGCAATCAATGACCAATCTGGTCTACTATTTTCATTTTATCCACCTGCCAAACCAGTATATCTGAACCAGAATCCATAACCATATTAAGTAGTGTCTTTCAAATCATCTTTATGTAATTCAACATGAACAACTGGACCTTTATCATATTTTGCATTAATTATTCTATTTGGTCCTTCAACACATCTCTTTTTAGGGGGTGGTGGTGTTGGTACTGGTCTTAAAGCTGGTTTAACATTTGTTAAATAAGATCCTTTACAGAAGAATACTTCAAGATAAGCCATAAATCCACTGTAGACTGGGAATTGTCTCTCTCTTCCAAAATAGAAATAATGTTTTGGTGATACAAAGTGATTAACATTGACGAAACTTAATGATTTAGCATGAACATGTTTGAATAAGACTTAAGCATATGCTTTTCTTTAATCTCTGCTGTAACCAAAGTATACAAAATGCCAATGTAAATGTTAATCTTAATGTTGTACATATTGATGAGCATTAGGATTACCAGATCCTTTCATATTTGCATAAGAATATGTTGAAAAGTGGATTTATCCTCCTTTTGGTTTACCTAACCAAGCAGCCAATACTCTTTCACCTAATAAAATTTATTATTTTCTTAATGGTGTATTGGATAATCTGAACATGGTATGCCAATTTTCTTACAAATCTGTTTCTTCCCATTTGAACCAACCTTAAACTGCATATTCATCAGGTAATAATAAGTCAATAAATTCTTATGTAGGTGGTGCATTATTATCTTCAATATCAACATATTTGGATTCTCTAACAAATTAATATGGAACTAATTTTTATGGTGCAACATATGGTTATGGATTACATGAAATAGCATACTACAAAAATTCTTATTCATTAATTAAATAGGTTCCCAAACCAATTGCTAATACTGGTCTACTAACTTGACCATTGAATCCTGGGAAATCAAAATATTGACCTCCCAAAACAAATCTCAAATATTATGGTGTTCCTTAAGATGCTGGTAATGTGACTTATTTAACTAATTAACTGTTTGATTGTTTATAGAAACCAATAGCTTATTATTGATAGGCTGAATAACTGTAATAAACGTATGTCCAAACAGCTTCAATATCTCCAAAAACAATAGCAGCTGTAGCTTCTTTTCTTTCAGGTTTATCATGTTAAGCACTAAAAATATATTATTCTTAAGTTTAGAATATAGTTAATAATCTATCACCTATTTTATCATCTCCATCTTATTAATTCTTTGTCAATTTAGCAACAAAATAAGATTAATCAGTTAAACCAGTTTACAATTATTCTGGATACAATGTTAAAAATCTCATCCAAAATCCAAAACCATATTCATTAACATCCTTTAATTTCTTGACTTCTGTTTCAACAGTAGGTTAATCAGCAGAAATTGAACTTGTTAATATGATATCTGATCCAACAACACATTTTGGTTATCTTTATTATGGGAATGGAATGTCACAACCTACTTCTTCAGGTACTGGATGATCATTTTATCTGTAATTTCCAGGGACTACTCTTTATTTTGACACTTTTCTTTATTAATATCTGTCACCACATTTATCTTTTATAGCAATAACTCTTTCTCTCTATTCATTAATTCTTTATTATGGTTATTGTTAAGGTTATTATTATCTTTATTATGGTTATGTTGTTTATTAATATTGATTTTAGACTCTTGAAATTTATTTTAATAAGTATTCAATTAAACCATATAACATTGCCAATTGGGATCTCTTTTACTCAAATGATCCTATATTGTTATTAAATTTTTTATCATACTTGATTCAATGACTTTTCTGATTTGATCAGAGATTTGTCTACTTTGTTCAAATAAAAACTTTCTTTATGGACCATTATATTAATTTTGGATTGTTTATAATTATTAATCCATAGCCTCTAATTATTCATCATAAGAGGAATCTTCCATCAAATCATTTGGATTGGCTATAAATATTTATTTATAATAATTACTTGATATCATTTCATTTGTAAATTCTGAAAGTTCTTGCAATTATTTCATTTCTGAATCTAATTATCCATCTTGCAATAATTCAATAATCTCTCCCCATGATTCAAAATCTTGTAACATTTACACAAAATCTGTATTTTCGCAATCTAATTCATTTTACTAATCCAAAAGTGTAGTTAAGTCATAATGCAATGCCTACACAAAGCAAACTAAATAGTTTTCAAAGAAATGTTACCTTGCAATAGAATAACACCTATCAAAACTAGATGTTTCATTCTTATTCTATCCGTTTTGAAAAATAAATAATAAATAATTATAAAAGTTCATTAATTATTTCATTATAAAGTTGGTTAATCGATTCTTATCTGATTAATGCAATAATAGTTACAAATATCTTGTCCTTATAATTCTTAACACATCATGCATCCTGATAGACTTATTTTTCACCTTTCCAATGAATGTTAGGATAGTTAAATGCACAAAAATGCTTAAGATAATACATAAGAAAATTTCCTAAGAATTTTCAGAGGTCAAGTATTAAATTTTATGTATTTATTTATAGTTTTCTATGTAATCAAACTAAGAAAAATTAGAAATCGATAATTATCTATTAAAATAAGGGGATTCTTAAAATACAGATTGTTAATTTGACAAATCTATTCCCAAAATAAATGAGGAAAATTAAATCTAGACATAAAAATAAATAGATAATTAATTTATTGATTAATTTAAAAGTCTAAATTTATATTATTAGAATTAAAATTAGAAAAAATGATAACATTAACTAAGATTTACATATGAATTGATATGTATGATAATTAAAGTTATTAATTTCTATGTATTTAATATACCATATATCAATCAATACTTAATTTATTTATTTACCATCCTAAATTCTTTAACTCTTCTATATCTTAATGTTCTTCTGATACCATACTTCCTTAACTATAAGGTTAAGATTTAAGATATTAATCAAAAGCATCTCTCACCTGAGAAATTGAAACTGAAATTACTCTCTCCCTCATTTCATCCACTTAATCATGATTTAATCCAGTAATAATATAATCTAATCCCTTATTCTAAGGTTCTATTGGTTAATCTAATCTTTAAAATACTGTTAATTTAGCTTCTTTCAATTTTTACTCATCTAAATCTAATTATATACTATCAAAAATTTTAAATGTATTTATTAAATTTGGATCTCTGTAACTCCAAAGACAAAATGTTCCCATAATAGATCTTACACTGCAACCTGATCCATAAGCACCTCCTTTTTCTCTTATTTCTCTATGTAAATAATTATTTGAAATACAATCTCCCAATACTTAAATAGCAGGAGTATCTTCATGAGTAAAATAAGGTATTTTAAATGCTCTAGATGAACAATTAACTTAAGATGGAATTAGTGAAGCTACATTCTCAAATTTTTCTTTAAATTATTCAATATATTATGGCTATGGATCCATATCAAATCCTGGATATTTATGTCTTATAGAATTTATGAATTATTCTAAACTTTATATGTAATTTGATGATCCATCTTAATGAATAATAACTTCTAATTTATGTTTATTCATAATTGTATATAAAATATCTGTCATTTGAAAATCAAAATCATCAACATACATTGATTTTCTTTGATTTTCAGCTTTCAAATAATGATGTGCATATTAAAGTTAGAATTTTGTATTGAAATTTGTATCAGTTAAATAATACTATTCTGAAATTTGAGAAGTTGCTAATTAAGCAGCATATTGTAATTATTCATCAAATATTTAATTCTACAATGCTACTTTGTGATTCCTTAATAATGTTGCTAAATGGGATCTATCTTTAAATTTAATGTTGCAAAATAATTCTGTTAATAATTCAAGTGTTTTTGAAATATTCTAATTTAAACATGCTATACTAAACATCAAATATGTTCCTTTTTTTTAAACTGAATCATATGATACTTCTAATCCTAATGTAAATTCACTAAACATCTAACTAATCTCTGAATATTTGAAATTTGTAGTTCCAAATTTACCAAACAATTAAACAAAAAAATCTATATATTATCTAGTGCCTTCAGATATTTCTCCTAAATTAAACTTGAATTTAAAGAATATGAGACCATTAGTTTTTTAAATAGTCTCATATACTTTGACTCCTCTTATTGTATCCTCATTAAATTAAACTCTCTCAACTTTTGCTGAAATATCTTATAATTCAATTGTAGGAAGTATAGAGAAATCTGATTCATCTCTATTATCTAAATCTTAATTCAATTTAATTATTTTATTTATTTCTTCTTGTGTAATTGATTTTTAGATTTCTTCTAATTACTTATTTTCATTTTATATTAGATTTTACAAAAATTTTTTATCTGGTTAACCAAATAATATATATGGATTCATAAAATGATCTTTAATTAATTGTTACAAGTATCCTTATGAAATTTTAGATTTTAAATTTGCCATATTTTTATTGAATTCTAAATATTCAATATAATTCTTTTAATTAATGATTGGATTAATTAAAAACTTCAATAATTTCAAACCCATTTCTGAAGTTGGCATTTTAAATTAAACTTCAATTTAATGTAATGCAGCATCCACTTTATCTTAAGGAAATTCTTTAGTTAATTATTCTAATATTTATTTAATCCTCTCTTAAATTGTATTCAAAGTTTTTCTATCATCCTCAACCCCTTAAAATGAAATACTGAATACATGATGATCACCATATTATTCAATTCCAACATTTCTACTAAAGGATTCTGCAAGTCCTTCTTCTATTAATGAATATAATAATCCATTTTAAGTATCAAAAAGTACATGAGAAATAATGTTCATTGCTAATTATTAAACATAATCAACATCCTTAATAATTGTTTAAAAAGCAAGGAAACATTATTTATCTCCATCTTAATATGGCAATGAAATGATATCTGGAGGTGTTAAAGGTTTAAGTTCTTGTTGAGATTATTGTTATTAATTTAGTTTTTATACTTAAAGATATTGATTTATTAAATCAAAATTAGGTTGATCACTTCCATAAGAATAAAATACTGCTTTACTAGGATGAAAGGTTTATTTATAATATTCTAATAAAGCTTAATGAGTAAGACTAGGTATAGCTTTAGGATCTCCACCAAAATTATGTTGATAAATTGTGTTATTTAATAAGTAAGTTTACATTTCTTACCAAAATACACTTTCTGGGTTTTACATAGCTCCTTTCATTTCATTATAAACAATTCCTTTATATACTAATTTTCCTTTATCAAAATCAAGTCTTGATCCTTCTTATCTAAAATCCAATTCATTTAATGTTGGCTTAAAAACTAAATCTAATATCACTCTCTATAGATTTTCAAAATCCTTTTTATTTAATGATGCAAGTGGAAAACAAATATAATCAGGACCTGTCCATGCATTCAAATAAGTATTTATGCTACGCTTTATCATAGCCATAAATGGATCTCTAACTGGATACTTTTCACTTCCACAACAAATCAAATGTTCCAAAATATGTGGAGTTCCTTGACTATTTGTAGGTTCAGATCTGAATATTGTTGCAAATGTTTAATTTTTATCTTAAGCCTCAAAATGAAGTATTTAAGCAGCAGATTAATGTTCATACAATTTAGCTGTAATCTGAAATTCTTGAATTTCATGTTGTGATTTTAACTTAAATGATTATTGGTATAATCTTCTATACTTAAATAATTGATTGCTAAACATAAATAAAAATATTAAAAATTAAATTAAAGATGTAAAACGCCGAATCAAATAACTTCAAATTATTTATTTCAATAGATGTAAACAACATTCCTAAACTCTTAGTATAAATAATTTTTTAATTATTTATATTTATTGACAATCTAAACTATATAAAATTTTGATACTAACAATTACTAATAAAAAAAAGGAAATACTCTTAATTTTATGATTGCTACAAATAATAATTAAATCAAATAATAGAGAATAACTTACTCTATTTCTATCATCAAAATATTTATGGGGTATTCAATATTGCTGCTCTATGAAAAGTTAAACTTCATTTATATTATTTTTCATATAGTATAACTTCTAAAAATTTCTTAAGAACTTTAACTCAAATTAAGTAAATATTTTTGATTTTCTCAATCCTAAAACAATATTAAACACATATATTAATATTTAATATTTCAATTTATAAACTAATCTTCTAATTAACTCTTAGATAATCATAATACTAATTTTTTATAGATTAAAAATAAAATGTTTGTGATTATATTCTTAAACTTTGTTTCAGTTATGTTTATTAACTATTTTTTTCTAATTTGAATATTAATATTAATGCATTATAATTTTTAATTGAGAGTGAATTCAATCAAGGTGATGTATTAATTATTTGATTAAATTAAATTTTATGTTCTCTTTGATGAAGAATATTAAGAGATTTATACGTTCCTATGATAATTTTGGAGTCTCCTTAAACTTCAATATTAGGAATAGAAAACAATATTAGAGCGTTTGTGGAGGAATTATGTCACTTGCTATGACAATAGTGCTGTTATACATTTTCATAACTGGTTTAATCAGTCTTTTATTAAGAGATAAATTTTATGTATTGCAGTTGTTTTATTAAGATTGATGTATAATAACTTCAAAATATGAATCCTGATTATTAAGAAATGAACATAACGAATTTCATGTTTGCAATAAAACTAGATAATCCATTTTAAATTTATTATCCAAATGATAACAAAAAAGCATATGATATTGTGATTAATTAAATGGAAATATCTACATTAGCAAATGGAACACGAATTAAGACAGTTTTAAATTAAATATTCTTTGAACAATGTAGGGATGAACATTTTAAAAATCTTAATTATGAAGGCTTTTAGGAAATATAAGCTGATTTAAGTTCTTATTTATGTCTACCTCTTAATTTTAGTTTGAAATTATAAGGTACATTTAATTCTGAATTCTTTTTATATCCTGCATTGAAAATATCAATCTGTTATACAAATGATTGTTATACTAAAGATTAGATAGATTATATTGCTAAAAATAAATCTATTTTAGTATCATTATCAACATTAATTTAATCATCAATTTATATGAGAAACAGTAAAGACAATTATCTCTTTCGATATTTAAATTCAGATTTCTATTTGTAAACAACATTTATGGAAGAAAGCAAAGCTGATATATTTTTTAAAAACAACAAAATTATAGCAGAAAATAGTATATTAAGTTTATATAAAGAAGAGGAGAGAAAAGATTTTTGGTCATTCTAAATATATAATTAAAGAGAATTTAGGGTATTAATTAATTATAATTTAGGAGTATCATGATTATCCTAGTGTATTATTTTCATTAAATTTTAGAATAAGTTAAGATTATGAATAAAATAAAAAAACAGCTGAAACAATTGATTCTTTTTTGTCTTATTTTGGAGGGATTTTAAAAATAATCTCAACAATCTTTGGATTAATAGCTCTTTCATATAATGAAATGGGATTAAAAATATCATTAGCAAATCATTTATACTAATTTAATATACCAAAGAAAAAAAATGGAAAGTTTGAATTCTCATATGATAAATTATTAAATGTTATTTAAGCTTCTCTAAATAGAGTAAGTGATTTATAATAGAAATTAAAATAACATACTAAAACTTTAGTAAAAACAAGTATGGTGATGAGAGTATGGAATAGTTAAAAATTTCAAAATCCAAATATTTCACATTAGTAATCATAGCAACGAGATTATGTAGAAACCCCTTAAATTGATTAATTACAATTCTAAAAATATGTTGAATAATTATAAGATTATAAGGGAAATTTTTTATAAAGATTAGTAACTACATTTAATTCTACTAGACATGATTTAAGATTAGGAGTAAATTTTATACTTTTTGAATTTTTATGGTGCACTTGTTGTGAATAAGTTGAGATTACTAAAAAGATGTTAGGATAATGTAAAATGGTTATTGATAGAGATCTTGATATTGTTCATTTGTTGTAAAAGATTTAAGAAATAGATAAATTAAAATCTATAATTTTGGAAAAAGATTAAATTAAAGTTTTTAGTTATACACCAAAACCTATTATTAATATTAATCCAACTTATTAACATTAACCAATAGAAGATGCAAAAAGAATTGACTTATTCTAATAATTAAATTTATAGAAACCAAAACATAAGATAAGAAGATAAAATTATTCATTAAATAAACCAAAAAGATTAATGAAAATTTATGATTCTTATAGTAGATTGAAATAATAACATAATAATAAAAAAAACTAAAGAATAATTTAACTTTTAGGTCCTACTATTGAAATGATATTTTAAAAGTATTATGAAATATAAAACATGGCTAAAGGAATAAATTATGAAACAAATGAAAATATTGACAATGTAAATCCATAAGTTGATTTATAAGTGGATGTTGCTTTACCAGAGAATTCTTATAATAATACTCAAAGAGTAAATGCACCCAAATTGGATTAAAAAATAATAAAATTTTAATAAATTACTCCAAAAGATTTGATGGATAAAGATGAACTTCTCAATTATGATTGAAATAATAGATATATTATCAATTGTATCAATTTTTTGATTATTATTATTATTTGGCTTAATTATGTTTATAAAATATTTTAATTAAAATATTACACCTATTCATGGCTAAAAAGTCTGAGTCAAATATAAAATTAATAGGTGAAATTGTTAGTAAAAATAAAGTAGATTTAAAAGCTTAACTTTTAACAAAAAACATGGAATATGATATGAGTGTTTCTTAGATTGAAGATAATGGAACTGATTATGTATTAAGATGTATTAAGGGAATGTATAGAGGAATGTTTATATATCTTAATTTAGTGGAAAGTGGAGAAACTATTGGTAGTGATGATAGTTGTACTTTACAAATGGAAGATTGTGGATTAGAGAAAATTCATGTGAAAATTAAATATAAATATAATGAAGAATAAAAGAAAAATGGATATCATCTTACATGTTTTGGTCCAACTTTAATTAAAATTCGTTATGATTGTCCTGCTCTCATTAAAAATAATATGGAAATAACAATAGGAAAATAAATTTATATTATTTAAACTGTACAAGAAGGTTTTAATGAAATTTTAGAATGGCTTTCAATTTATGATCTCTAAGGATTAAAGCACTTTTTCTTTGGAAATAATATACATAATCTTAAATAACTAAAATAAAATAAAATAGATTAATTAATAAGTTCAGTGTAATCTTATAGTGCCACATAAGATTAATTGCTTAAATTAAGAGAAGCTTATAATTAAATAGATGATATTATACTTTAAAATTATGATGCATTTAAAATTAATTTATTGGATAAAAAAAAGAAAGTAATAGTTTTATAATTTGGATGGTCTGGTGCAACAATAAGTTCTAAAACTCAAAGATATTAAAAACCTCCTGATATTTTACTTAAGAAATAAGAAATAGATGATTTAGAAGAAAATCCTGATTTTTAATTATAAATTAAATTTATTTAAGGAAAATATTGGATTTGGGGTTCTAAGACTGATACTTATAATACATTTTATAAATAAAATAAAGAAGAAATTAGAGTGATTTAACCTGATGATGTGATCAAATTAAATACTATCGAGTTGTTAGTTTAAAGATTTAATTATGGATGTTTCTAAGATCCTGGAACAAAAAGAACTTAAGAAGATAGATATACAATTATATAAGATTTATAAGTAAGTAGTAGAGTTCCAGTTTCATGTTATGCTATATTTGATGGACATAATGGGACTTCTTGTGTTAATTATATGTCTTAAAATCTTATGGATAATATAAGAGAGGATTTTAATTAAGAATAGAAAGAATTTGATCATTAAAATAAATTCTTGGCTTTTCTATTTGAAAATATTAGATCAACTTTTAAAGAAACGGATAATGACTTTTTAACTGAAATTGTATAGCCAAATGTATCTACTGATTCAGGATGTGTGGCTGTTGTAGTTATGATAATAGGTGATTATATTGTTAGTATAAATTGTGGTGATTCTAGAGCAATATTATCAAGATAAGGAGAAGCTATAAGCTTAACAGAAGATCATAAACCAAATGTTCCTTCTGAATGTGCTAGAATAAAAAAAAAAGGTTGTGGTGATATAATTGGTGGAAGACTTGGAAATCTTGCTGTTTCTAGAGCTTTTGGTGATTTTGGTGAAAAAAAGAAATATGTAAAAAATACAATCACTGCAAAACCTGATATAAGAGTTACTAAAATTGATTATAGAACTGATGAATTTATACTATTATGTAGTGATGGTATTATTGATGGATTTGGTAATACAGAGGAATCTGAATAAAATATATAATAAATATCACCAAGTCAAAGAGTAATTGAATTTGTTAGAAATATGTATAAAGAATAATAGATTGGATTATAAGATCCTTAAGATGCTGCATAATAAGTAGTACTAAAAGCATATTAATATAATGTAACTTATAGAAGATAATCAGATAATATCAGTTGTATTATTGTAAACCTTACTCGAGGAATTGTTTTTTGAATTCTTAAAATTTAATATTCATGAATTTTATATAAATTTAATTAAGAACTCAAGAATTCTCATTCACAATATCTAATTACAATTCTATTACAACTATATCAATTTTAATTTAAATAATGGAATAAACAATAAAAAAATGGTAAAAAAGAGAAATTAATAAATAATGCTAATCAATTAATTAGATTAATAATCAAATAAAGATAAAATAAAATTAGATATTTAGTTTGCTTAAAGTAAAATAATTTTTAATTATTATGTTACTTTTTTCCATAATATACCTACATTTAGTATTCTTTTGTAGATAATAATTTGATAATTTTTATAAGTATTAATAAATTATTAAGAAGAGATAAATAGAAATTTATTTATCCATCATTTCAGTAAAAAAATTAATAAAAAATTTAGACTTAGAAATAAAGTAAAATTATTAAATCAATATTAAATTATGTTAAATTTATCTTTGAAAACATATAATCAATAAATAATACTCACATCTAAATATAAAAATAATCTATTTATTTAATATTATATTGAATTATTCTGAGACAAAAACTAGTTAATAGAAAAGAAGGATAAAAAATAAGAATTGAATGATATATATTTTTTATTTAATAAAATATAGCAATTTTGAAATTTATTTCAGCAAAATAATTTATTTCTATACATTTTATATATTATAATTATGTTTTATTTAAATTTTGAGATGAATATCTTTTTTAGATGAGTTTATTGAATATGTCGTTGATTTTTATAATTTTAATATATAAATTTGCATGAAAATCTCACTTCTATAGCTTGAGAGATCTTATTTGGATGCTATTACAGAATTGGGGGAACACTCTTAAAAAACTTAAGAAATACGTGTTAATCTTATTGAAATGCTTAACCAAACAGGCAGATACTTACTATTTCAAAAGCTTAATGGAGAGAAGTATCTCTAAAGAGCTATAGAATTAGCAAATTTGTTAAATATGGAAGAACAACTAATTGTTAAATATTAGACATATATGTTTTATGCAGAGTACCTTGAAGTCAAAAAGAATTATAGTATGGCATATAATTTGTTAATGCAGTTAATCCCTATAGCGAAGACAAATGAAAGGAATATCATAATGATTTAAATTCAAATTCTTAATCATCTAATTGAAAATGGAAGAGTGTGTAAAAGAAATAATATTATACAATTGAATGAATAATTGCTAAATTTAATGGAAGAGATTGGACTTAGTTTCTATTTGTATAAAGAATTTCCTAATAAGTTTCAACAAATTTTATTATAAGCCTTATCATTCTAAGCAAAAATATACTAAAGATAAAATAAAGATAGAGAGGCAACATAACTCTTTTTTTAGTCTTATCATCTTTCTGAAGAGTTGTTGGGTATTAATGATAAAAGAACACAAGAATATAAAAAATAATATGAACATTTGAGTGATAAAATCTCTGTTAATTTAGAAATTTAAAGTTAAGAAGAAGAAGAAGATGATAATATACAGTAAAATCAAAATACTTAGAGGGAAGAAAAGAAAATATTATCTTTTAGATCTAAAAATACTTACCTTAACAATTATATTATAAATGTAGATTCTGCAAGAGTACCAAAATTATCAAAAAAGATTGATAAGACTAAAATTGATAGACCTCTAATTAGTTAGAGAGATCCACCAAAATTTAGTGAATAGTAATTTCAATAACTATTTATATTAAAAAATCCAATCAAAAGACCTTTAAGTTCATAAGGAACTACAAAAATGACAAGTCCAACTAGATGTTAATCAATAATTTCAAAGAAAAATACTGATAAAATAAAAAATAGAGTACCTTCTTTAGAATAAAGTTTAATAAAATAATTGGAAACAGCATAACCTTAGGATAGATTTAATGATCTTATAATTAATAGACCACATTATGATGAAGTAAGAAAATATGAAATTGTAAAAGCTACAAAATAAAGAAATACAAAATAGATAGCTTCCAATTATTTAATTTAGTTAATTCCTCCATCTCATTCATCAAGGCCATAAATTAGAGAACCATCAAAAACTAATATTCTTTATAAAGTAGACAGCAAAAAGTTTCCAAGTAATCCAAGCAATTAAAAGATTGAAAGAAGTTCTCAAAAGAAAATAACAACAAATGAAATATAACCCACATTAAGTAACATTAGATTAATTGGTAGTGGAATCAATTTAACAAATGAAAATGATGATGAAAATATTAAGTAATAAGAAGATGACAGAAATTATTCATTTGAAGACGAACCTATTAAAATAATACCATAATATGATCCAATTATAGCAAAATTTTTAGAGAAACATTCAATGGATATTTTATTAGAAGCTGTTGATAGAATAAAGTCTAAAATGAAATTTCATGTTTATTATTCTAGAAAAAAAAGAATTGAAATTGAATTATAAGAAAATGAAATTTCACCAATTAAAATACATTCACATACTAAAAATATGACAAGATCAAATACTTATGGAATTGAGATTATGGACATTGTTGAAAAAAAAATATTAGAAAATGAAGCTAGTAAAATAATACATAAATTAATATCTCCTTCAAATTAATTAGATTGGAATCCAATTCATTTTTATAATAAATTATTTACAGATAATGATACTTAAAAATGGATATTATAAAATCCTAAATTTAGAGCTTAAATACTTTAAAAATCATAAGATAAAAAATAATATTAATAATTTACTGTTGAATTAATATAAGCAATGTTATAAAATTAAAAAAAATTTGCAACAATTTAATTGATAGCATCAATAGAATTATCTAATCATATACGAAAGTTTTAAGTGAGATTTATAATAAATTCATTAGCTTAACATTACAAAGAAATATCCAGTTATGATGATATGATGGATCTTTTTAATCAATTAACTAATATTTATTTCAACTAAGAAAATTTATTAAATGAATGGAAAGAAGAAAATAGATAATATACATTATATATAGTAAATTAAAATTAAGAAACATAAGATTAAAAAATATAAAAGTTATCTGACAAAAACAAGGGATATAGAAATGATGAAACTTAAAAAATAGATTATTATTAAGATTTATTATCAAAAATCCTATTTTTTGTTAGAAGAAAAAGTTATGTTAAAACAATTAATGGATTTAAATTTAAATCAGAAACTTAAGATCTTTAAGATTCTATTTAAAAATATAATAATACAATATATAAATAGAAAATAGAAAGAATAAAATCTTATTTTTAATATAGAGATATCAACATGTTTAGTCAGGATTAAAAAAATCCAAAGTAATAAGCAAAAAGATATAGAAAAAAAATGAAGGATAAACATCATCTCTACATTCATGATGATATCCAATATAGTCTATTAGATGATAATATTACATCATAATTATAGGAGAAAAGGTCTGGATCTAGATAAAAAAGTAAAATAAACAATGATTCATTTAAGGATAATGAAAAATTATCAAGATAGAATTCTAGTGAAACTCCTTATTCTAGATTTAGATCATCATAATCAATTAAATAAAATAAAATATCTTAATTATAATATGAAACTTAAATAGAATTAAATGATATATTTACACTTGAAACTCAAGATTATCTATAAAGATATTTTTCAGAATTCAAATTAAATGTCCCTCCAATTAATTATTATCCAACTTCAAATCCCGTAATAAAGAAATTCTTAATAGAATCTCATTATTACTTTAGATAAGAATATCCTTATATAAAATGTGATAAGTTGAGTTACAAACCCATACATTCTGATAATTATTTAATTTAAACATAAATTGTAAAAATTGATAAATAATTCTACTTTTTAACTCTAACTAATAAATTAAAATTAGAATAAATTTATTGTAAAGATAAATGGGAAGATGAATTAGATATTTAATTAAAGGATTTGATTAACTATTCTGTTGGTAGAACTGGATATATTATTGATTTTATTAAGTTATAAGAGATTTTATAATCAAAATTGGAAATAGTTAATTGTAAGATTTAATTAAAATAAGAATAGACAAATGATCTATTGATAAAAAAGAATTTAAAGTTATTTAGATAAAATAAGAAACTTTATTATGCTAGAGAATCAATTCAATTTATAGAAGAAGGATTAAAAGAAATGTCTTAAGATAGTATAAATCAAGAAGATGAAAGCTTAGAACATATGAATTTATAAAAAAGAGATCCATTAATAGACATTATCTTTTTGCTTGGAGTATTGGATAATAATTCATATGTAAAATATGATATTCATTTGAGAAATTGTTAATTTCTAAAGTATGTAGATGGAAAATTAATGTTGTCAGAACCAGATTAAATCAGAAAACCCAAATTTCCAATTAGATTGATTTTGTCTCATGAAGATATGAATAAACATATTGCTAGAATGAATGAAAATACAATAAATAGTAAGGATATATTATTATTTCCTCATTTTAATTCTCTTTTTTTAGTTAAATAGATACAATTTAATTACAAAATCATAAAATTAAAATTACAAATTTAGTCTGATTTCAATAAATTACATTAGAATATTCGTGATAATTTTGCAAGAGCTCAATTATTCATCTATAAAAATAATGATAGAAAACATATAATATCTTTAAATTCATAGTAAACTGAAAGATGGATTCATACTTTTTAGATTGATGGAAAAATACGAGATATTCTCTTTAGCTATAAAACAATGATGAAGAAAACATTAACCGGAAGGAAGCTATAAAAAAATGATAATAGATAATCAATATCAAAAGACATTAGATTTTTACTTTTATAAGATAAATTAGTTAATACGAAATAATATTTTATTCAAAGTAAAATTTAAGATATTGGATATGTATTTGTTACTGGAACAGTATTTTAAGATATGTTATTAATTAAAGTAATGCCAATTGGAAATAAAACAAAAGTTCATATTTTTCTTTATAAAATCTTTGATGATGATGATATCATTAAGTTAATGAATTAATTGTGTAAGTATTTGATTTTAAAAACAACATACACATATTCAAAATTAAAGTTAGTACCTATTACTCAAAATAAAATTCGTAAATAATATCTATTAGGAAATTAATTTAGTGATCATAACTTCTTAATTGGATAGAAATCATACTCAAGAGTTATTTATAAATAGATTAAAAAAATTGATAAAAATTACTTTATTATAACAGTAACATAAATAAAAAATTATTTTCAGATATACTTTTATAATTAGAGTAATTGTAGAAGATTTTATTTTACAATTCATAGATCAGATTTTTTAATAATGAATAAATACTTTTTGGATTCAATTTTTCCAGAATAACCTTAAGAAGTGATTGAATAATTATGTAGAAAATGGAGATTTAATGAAATTGCAAAGATTCATTCTCTTATAATAAAAGCACCTGAAACTTTTAAAAATAGAACAGAATTATATATTTAATAAATAAAAGATACTAAAAAATAATTCAAAAGATCTGCTACTTCAAGTATGTCAAGTGTTAATAATTTAATGAGATCATCTACTTTATAATTGAATAATATGTAAGATAATTCATTTGAAGAAAGTCTCAATAAAGAGTGTTGGTTATTTGATACATTATTATTACGTAATCAAAAATGTATATTTGAAAAGAAAATATGGTTGGAAATTTTAAAATAGATGAATATCAATAATAATTAAATTAGTTTAAATACTTTTAAAACAACATTGAATGAATTAGTATATTAAAATGATAGAATATGTAATTTTTTATGTTATATTCCATGTTAAGAAATTTAGTAATCATTTCGTTGGTAACCTATTAGATTAAGAATTTATGAATATGATACTTGTAAAAGTGTAGATATTCCTTTAAGTATAAGAGGAAAGCAAGTCTAAATTTATAAATAATGTAATTTAATATTAGAAAATTATATCAAATTTAAAATATTGCCATGTAATTAAGAAATTATGAAAGTTAATAAGATTAATGATAATCAATTAATAAAATATCAATTACTTTATAAGGGTGCTTTTATGAAACATAAAATGTTATTTATGGCTATATATTTAAATAATGATATGTTTCATATTTGTATTTAGAGTAGTGTAACTCAAATAATTCGAAAATTAGACATATTTTTAGTAGAATTAAAGATCCCTCACATAAGATAGTTATTGATATTGAATCCTTATGAAGCAGGAAGAAGAATTAGTATAATCTATAGAAATAATTTCATCAATGCTTCATTCTTGAATTTGTGATTTAATTAATTAATTTAAATGTCTGTATATAGTGGTTTTAGTACTCGTGCTCTTGAAAGTGAATACAATCAATGCCTCCTTCAATTGATTACAATCTTAGCTAAGAGATGTGCTCTGGCTCTTTCTATTCAATAATTGTAGGATGATACAAAATTTGCAGGAAATTTTGGAAAGTTATATGGTCAAATAAAGAAATTGGAAGAATATAAATATGCTCCTCCGAAATATTCAGTTGCATTAAAATAACTAAGTGAATAGATTGGCATAATACAGTTCAAATAAACTCTAGTTCCTTAATAATGCAAAAGGAAATTCACATTATAAAGTGCAAATCATTAATAAATGAATTTATAAAATGTTACTCCATCAAAAAGATAAACAAAAACAAGTTATCTAAGATCTAATAGATTAAAAACTGAGGATTCCGCATATAGTAGAGCAATAGAGAAGAGTTTGAGGTATAGAGAATTAGAGTTTTTATGTTAATTTGATTGACTTTAATTAATATTAATATAAATATCATGGAAGTCAAATATCGTCCACCACTTAATGATGTGTAATATTAATATACTAATCCAATAGAAATGAATGCAATTGGCTAGAGAAAAACTTTGTCTCTTGCTTAAAAGAAAAGAGTGTGAAAGATGATCTTCCAAAAAGAGTATGCAAAGTGGAAAATGTATGAATTAAATTTATTTAAGATTCTTTGGTTCTTTTTAGAATGTCCTGAAAGATCATCACCATATGAGAATGCTGAATCATTAAGATAGATTTATATCAAATAAAAATTGGCTGATCTTAATCCTACAGTTCCTGAACCAAGAAAAAGAAAATGAAATGCATTATCATTATAATAAATATAATAATAAAAATTATTCTTAAGCAATCTATTTAAATCATAAAACTTTAGATTGCAATAAAGATGAAAATTCTTCTAATGATATTTTACCATCATTATCACTATCACATTCCTTTAATATTTGAATCCAAATCTCTTTAAAATACATCTAAATACCTCATCATCAACATCCCCCATAACATTTTATAATTCTGCTTTAGATATATAATTGTCTCCATCTAAATCTATTATTTTAAATGCTTATTCCATTTTATGAACTGAAAGAAACTTCTCTTAATTCATTGCAGCTATTAGAAATTCTAATATATAAATTCCATTTAATAATTACCTGTAAAGTCTACTTCTCCAGATCTATTAATATCAACTAGTTCCATTATTCCATCTACTTATTGAATTGCTATTTCTTTATTATTAGTTACTGATGTATAACCATCAATTAATTCTTATCTTGAAAGTTTCCCATCTCCATTTTTATCTATTGCCTAAAAAGTCTTATTCAATTCATCCTATTCCTATTGTGTTATAATTTAAGTGGCCATAAAAGTCAATATTGCTTATTTAAATTTGCTCTTTGCATGAAATTACTGTAAGTTTTATAAGGCTTTCTAATTAATTTAATTTGAAACTGTATTATTTTAAATCCATTTATCATTAAATGCTTCTTCAGCACTTAATCTTTTGGAAGGATTTGGATTTAACATATTTTTAATAAGATTTTGAGCATCCTCACTAATATGAACCCAATCTTCAGGATCAAATTTTAATTATGCTGCTTAAACTCTTTTCAAAATATCTGATTCACTTCTACCAGAAAATGGTGGATAACCACATAACAAGATATATAGAATGACTCCACAGGACCAAATATCACATTTTTCATTATAATTCTCTAACAAAACTTCAGGGGCAATATAATATGGAGTTCCCAACCTTTTTGTCATTCTTTTACCTGATTCAAATTTGCGAGATGTTCCAAAATCTATAACTTTTAAATCAGCATCTGGTGAATCTGATACAAATAATAAATTTTCTGGTTTTAAATCTCTATGTACAATTTTTTGATTATGACAATACCAAACAGCACTTAGAATTTATCTCATTAATTCTGCTGCCTTTTTTTCACTAAAAAAGCTCATACTCTTAATACGATCAAATAATTCTCCACCAGAACAAAACCTATCCTCAATCAATTTAGTACTTACTCGGTAACCAAATAGTAATTTTTATCATCTTCAAATAATTCATACAATTTTACAATATTAGGATGGTCTAAGTTCTTTAATATATTCATTTCTGAAAATAATTTCTCTTTATCTTCTTTTAAAATAGAACTTTTTTTAAGTTGCTTCATTGCTCTTTCTAATTTAGTTTTCTTATGTATCACTTTCCATACTTTTCCAAATGCTCCTTCTCCTAGAACTTATCCAGTAATATAATGATCAGATATTTAACCCTTTTTCAATTATACAAAGATGTCAATGTTTACATTTAAATTATGCTCCTTTTCTAATTTAATCTCTAATGATCATACTTTATGCAGATTACTATTCTAATATCTTCTTTCTGTCTGTATCTGAATTTTATCTTTCCAACAATTATTCTAATTCTTTTGATACTTTCATTGAAACCTTCTTTGTTTCTTCATATATTTCTTTTTTATCATCAGACACATTTTATTTTAATCCTAAACCAAAAGTCTAAGCTGGTGTATATGCTTGACGTTTGTTAGAAGTTGTTTATTTAATTACTCTTTTCGAGGAAAGTTGGTCATTTTCACCAAAAGCAGCTGATTGGACAGATAGTTCTAAAATAAATCTTATTCAAAAACTTTACCATCTTATGTCAGTAAATTTGATTTACAACAAGTTGCACCCATGTTTTAATATCAATAATTTTAAATATTATGAATTAATTTTGTAATGAACAAATTCAATATGATAAATTAATTTTTTAATAATTTTGAACAATGTAATTGATTTCACTAGAAAAATCAATAAGCAATTCTAGAATTTAGTCTTAAATTTATATATCTTTTATTATATTCATTATTAAATAAGACCTTTCATTATTTTATATATTACAATCTTCTTTGTTGCATTTAAAATAATGTAATTTAAATATATATATTTGATTTAAATTAATTAAAATTGAAGTAGGATTATATTATTATTATACCTTATTTTACTTTTTTATTATCAATATATTTTAAAAACAAGCGATAAGTTAGAATTACTAATACTAATACTTAAGTGTTAATGACAAAATAGGAATAGGGATCTATTAATTAATAATTAAACTTTTTTTTTTAATTTATTTAACAAGACTTTAATATTTTCTTAATTGATATTGCTTGATTATTTTATATAATTATTTTGATTAAATAAATGCAAGTCAAGCTATACAAAAAAACTCTCTATTTTTAATATATGCTTTTACAACTTTTCTATATATATAATTGTAGATTTAATAGTATTGAGTATTATATAAATTATTTTTTAATTGAAATGGAATATTATAAATAATATTTATTTTCAAGTATCGTTCTAAAGTTTATTCTAATTCACATTTCTAAAAAATAATAAAATTTATGATTAATCAAATATATCATAATTCTTCTGAATAATAAAAGAACATAATAACATCAACAAAAAGAAGCCTTCATTAAACCTAAAGTATTTCAGATGCATCTGTTTAAGTTGAATTTTCAAACACATAATTAATGAAAATTATAGATGATATTGATAAAATTCATTAATAAGAGAAAAAAGCATTACTTGAGTAAATCAATTATTTAGAAAAAAAACTATAATAATCAAAGGCAAAACAATTGATTCAATGTATAAATGAAGTTAAGAATATATACCTTAATTAAATTGAAATAAATAAACCAATTCGCATAGCTTTGGATTCTTTAGAGTAACTGATTAATGAAAAGTAACATTATGAAGTATCAGATCTTAAATATCGTCTTCATTAAGCAGAGAAAGTTTTAAAATTACCTACAGCTGAATTTAAAACATACCCTGTAGAAAAACTTGTAAATTCTATAAAGAAGTGTCAATAATTCGAATCTGAAAATATCAACTTAGGAAATATTTTGGAAGAATTAAATTAAGCGGATGATCACTGGAACTAAATTTAAAAGGATCTATATGACGAAAGTAGCACTTTGTTTAATTCATTATAAACAACTACCTAAAACATTTTTTATGAACTCTCTTTACTAGATTGCAATAAATGATAGGTAATTTATTCTTATTGTAATATTTATTTTTATTTCTGATTTCTATTTTATTATAATAAGTACTTTTATAGACTCATTTTATAAATTCTTTTTTGATTGATTAATTTGTTATTATTTTATCATTATGTTTTGTGAATTTAATTAGAAAGATATTATTTTGATTCAAAAATATTTATATTTGTAAGGAATATCTTAAATTTCAATAAATTATATGGTAATTATTAATAAAATTTTATTTATTTTTTAATCTTAATTTTAATTTTTGAGGTTTCATTTTTTATAATCAAATGTTATTTTGAACAATTAAAATCATTTTATATTAATGATATATATAAATTGATTGATATATCTAATAGATTGGATTCCAATCTTCAAATTAATTTTAAGATTATGATTTAAAATTGTAATTATAAAGAATAATAGTCATTGTTATTTAACTGGATTCTGTTGGAGCTATTAAAATATTTTAGAGATTAATTATAGTATTCTAATATTAAAGCACAAAATGATAAGAGTTATATTTTTCATAAGTTCAAAAAAATAATAGATGCCATTTTTTTTTTGAATTTCACTAAATGCTAAAATAAATTATCATTTTTTTACAATCATAAAGGCTCTTTATTATCATAATGCAAGTTTCGAATAATGCAATCATTTAGATATAAATAATTTTGATTGCTAAAAATAAATTTATAAGTAATTCTTCCATGTTTTTTGGATAATATTGAATTTTTTAGTGTTCTTATTTCTATTCTTATTAATTTATTATTATTTTTTATATTGCTAAATCAGATAATTTAGATGGCTATCCAAGTTGTATCTATTTTAAGCTAACCATTTTTTAGTTGGAATTATTATATATATATATATTAATATTTATTATTCCATATGTCTGTTTAATGGATTTAGAAATTATCAGAAAAATATAATTCAAAATATTTTAATATCTTTTTTATTTCTAATCATTTTGTTTCATTTTAAACTTCCCAATAATATCCTGAAGTCTTTTCATCAATTTTCTAATCTTAACCTACCCAATAATAATCTGCATTGGAATCTGGAAATTATACTTCATCTGGCTATTAAAGTAAAGGATCTTTTAAATCCACTATCACTTCTGTATTATCATCTAAATCATCAGCTGGATGTTAAATAGCCCATAATTCTATAATTTTAATTTTAAGTTTTTTAACATAAGGAAGTACAATAGGACCATTCTCATAAGTATCATCAAATTAATTGCAATATGAATTTTCAATATTTTTACCAATCCATATTCTACATCCTTCTGCATTCTTACCTCCAAATCCAAAACCTTTTTATGAATCTAAATAACAATAATTTTATTCTCCTTTTTTTGATTTAAATATTTTGTAATATGGATAGAGACTAAAAATACAATCATCTTTAGTTCCAAAATATTATTAAGTATCATACCATCTAAGATTAGTAATAGCACCAAAAGTTTATTATTTAACTTTTTATTCATAAATTTCTTCATGTTAAACCAATAGTAAAGTAGGTAATTTACTTTCTAGATAATATTAATGTAAAGAATTTACCTTTCATAGCTTAAATCATTTAATTAAATCCACCCTAATGTGCAACACTTGAATAAAGTAATGATAATTATGAACAATTCTTTAAAACAGAATTTGTACTTAGAAATAATTGAAAACATAATTCATCAGTTAAAAAATAAGATGGAGTATTTACAACAGGAATAAAATTCTAATTTTTATTTTAATATTTACATTTATTTATTTCCCCATAAATTTTGCTTAGAAATATAGTTTAATTGCTTCTTTAGTACCTGGCATTTATTTTGTAACAAAATCTACCAAACTAACCCAAGAAAATGAACCTGCTTCATTTTCTAATATAATTGTTTAGATTTTTACTATAAAGCATATCAACCATTGTTTTAATATATCTCTCATTCGTTGAAACTGCTTTTTTACCTATTTAATGCATCTTAATTAAATCCTTATTTATAAAATTGTTAATTACTTTAATCACTCCTATTGTGTCTAAGTATGTTAATTGTAATTATGCTAATTCCTCTTTGGTTGTCAAAAACTTTGAATCTTATAAAGAAATTAACGACATGAGTTCAAATCTCTCTAGGTTCTTAAATGTAGGTATATTAGTTTGGACATCTTTCACCAACAATTCCACTTTTTATTATATAGGATATTACAAAATTCAAACAAAGGCTCTTTCTTAATCAATCCTTAAGATCCAGAATATGCTTCTAAAAATTTGAATAATTTTATTCCAAAAGATGGATTTTCACAGAAAATATCTTCAAATGATTTTTAGTTCAATCCTTTAACATCACGTGTTCTTAAATATTCTTTTAAATTACTAGCTGCTTAATTCACAATAATAGTGGAACTGATTATTAAGTGCTTAATATTCTGCTTAATCAAAAGCCAAAGGTACCGGATCCTTTCGACTCCCATAACAATTACCCATTTATTTAAATAATATATAAATAAAACGATAATAAATATAAAATTTATTTATATTATATATCATTATCATCTAAATTAGAAAATAAAAATATCTTAAAGTGGTGAGTCATTTAAAAAAGGGTAATATGAAAATCTTCTAATTTTTCAATTTCTAAAGTAAAATAAATTCAATAAAATAATATTGAATTCTAAATGGTTCTTAATTTATCAAAATGGTTAATGTCATTAAACAAAGATTCAATATTTTTGATTACAACAAAAAGTAATTTATAAATGATTTTATAAAAAATTAGATATATATAAAATATCATCATTACTCATTTTCCCACCTTCTTGCAAATAAAATAGGATCATTAAATTGCTTTAAGTTTTCATTAATTACTTCTTAAATAATTAGTAGTTCTTTAGATAATAACTATTAATTCACCTCTTATATATAACTATTTATTTATTATGAAAATCCTTTAGTAAATTACTCTAGATTTGTATTCAAATATTGAATAAACTTTCGATCATGATGATTATAAAGTAAAGGGCTGACTTTTTCAAAGTATTATTAAAAACTATCAATCCAACATTATAATTCCTCTTATATTTGAGAAGGGCATTAATTCTTGATTGCATATGCTTTTACTGCTTATAATTTTCTTAATAAGAAATAGCATTTTTATTTTTCTTCAGTATTAATAGACTAAAATTTTTTTAAGGTCTAATTTAAAAATAATAAAAATTTATATGTAGGTCTAATTGTTGCAGTTAAAGACTCTATCATGGATTTTAATTTTACCTTTTCTTTATCTTACTTTTTCTTATCTTAATCAGATGATAATTTATTGATAGATAAATCAGTTTTAGCTCTTTATTAGATGAAATCATTTTTTTTTAATAGTAATTCATTTGGCTTAATTTAAAAATTTTTAAAATCTGTCATGGAGTAAGTTGTGGGACCTATTTTTTTTCTTAATGGAGATACAATTAAATTTCGAAGAGATTAATTAATATGGATAGGTGAAACTCTTTAATTTCTACTAGTAAGTGTCTCTGTTATTTAAGGAGCAATTAATGGGGAATTAGAATTCATTTGATTTTATGGTTAACAATTAGAAATTTGATTATTTTTGATTGTGTCATTAGTGCTATTTGGATTACTATGTTAGGGTGTATCACTATTTTCATATGGTAATTAGTTAAAATTTGGGTTTAATTTTTTGAAATTAGTTGATTAATTTTTTGGAATGTTAATTTGAATCTACTTTTTAGTTTTATCTTTTATTTATAAGGGAGATGATTCAAATTTTAACTATTAATTCTCATTATTAAATAATTGATTTTATTAAATGTTATTTAATTCAAGTATATGATGATATTAATGACTATTATGGAATTAAATTGTTTCGATTTCTTCATTAATATTATCCAATTCATCTGGTAATGTTTTTAAAATTTTTTATGAATTTTCAAATTTATCTTGATCGCAACCATCTTATAAAATTTAATCATATCCACTTGACCTACGTAATACTTTAAATGGTATATTTTTATGAGAATTACTACATTTCAACTATTTCGAATATTATAACATTGAGAGAATTCCATCAATACTAATCCGTTTTTATGGATCAATCTCCAACATACCTATAAGAATGTTTTAGATTTTTTTCAACAATGTTTTATCATTCATAATTTTCTTGTGTATTTATTATTACTTACTATATAGATCTCCATCCTTTTTTAGATTAAATGGAATTTCTTTATATACCATTAAGTAAAGAACTACACCTAAAGACCATATGTCTGACTTTTCTGAATAAAAATTTGACTGAACTGTCTCAGGTGCCATGTAAACTGGAGTTCCAACACTAAATCTTTTGATTATACTCTCAAAATCATTTTCAACAATAGCAAATCCAAAATCTGAAAGTTTATAAATTCCATTTGATCTTAGTATATTAGCTGGTTTTATATCTCTATGTATAATTTCTAAAATGATATATGAAAGATGATTTACTTTATTAATGGAGTGCTTTGACTCCCTTTGCTATTTAGAGAAAAACATTAATAATTTCTATTTAAGTAAAAGTTGTTTTTTCTAAAATGTTAGCTAGATCACCATCATTACAATATTCACATATTATGTAGGTGTTATTTTTAGTCTCAAAAATCTCGTAAACTTTCATCAAATTCTCATGATCTAATTGTTTTAGTATAGTGATCTCATTTTTTAAAAGGGTTTGGGAAATTGGAGTTGTTAAGGTGGAAAAATTTATAACTTTTATAGCAACTACTTAATTGGTTTAAATATTAATGCCCTTATAAACTGATGATGAATAGCCTTCTCCTAATATGTCATTAAGGAAGTAGGAATATTTTTGAACTATCTTTTACATTTTTTATTTAGTTTCAATCATTGTTTTTTATGAATCAATTTTAAATTGTAATAAAAAATTATTTTGATGTTAAAAGATGAGTTTATTGTAGTATTTATAATTCTTCATAAAAAATAATAGAAAAATAAGACATTTCTTTTTTTTCTATGTTAGGTTTTTTATTAATTTAAAAAATGAATGCTCAAATAAAATCATCATTTAAAGAGCGTCACTCATTAGAGGAAAGAAAGAAGTTGTTTTAAACAAGACAATTAGTTCATCCTTCAAAAATATTAATTATTTTAGAACAATTTCTTGATTCCTCATCTACCTCTCAGTTGTAATCTTACCTTATTATTAAGAGATGTGCAGCTGATCCTGAATAATTAATGGTAAATTTTGAGGCAGATATTAGTAAATTATTTAAAAAGAAAATACCAAAAACCTAACATATTTCTCTTTTCTTTTTTATTAACAATGTTCTACCTTAAAAAGGTAATCAAATTAGTTTTATGCTTTAAGATTAGACTATGGGACAATTATATAAAAAAATGTAAGATTAAGAGGATGGATTCTTATATATTTAAGTCAAGTCTTTAGAAACTTTAGGATCCCTTTGATGAACTATTATTTGATTATATATAAAAAATAATATTAATAGAATACAATAAAAAAAATATCAATAATCATCCTAATCAAAAGAGAGTATCGTTGGTTTATTAGTTTTCTTAACAATTTCATCTATTTTTGATTTCTTAGCTAAAGTAGGTTTCTATGTTTATGATAATTTAGCAAATTATTTCTTTAATTCCTCTTCTTTCTTCTATCTATCATTTTCTTCTTCTTATTTTCCTATTACAGATTTAATATTTTTTTCTTTTTAATCATATATCTTTTATTTTTTAGATCCCACATATTCAGGTTTGAATTTATTCAAATTAAATTCAAGATTACCATCATTTCCATTTCCATCAACAACTTAAGCATTTTAAAAATCATAATTATCATCTTCATCACTCTATTATACAATAAGTGGATCATCATCATTCTTTCTTATTTTCTTTTAAATTTTATCTTCTATTTTATAATTCTAAGCATCTATATTGCTTCCTCCATTTACTCTCATTCTAAATTGTTCAATAAATTTCACTTAAGGTTTTTCAAATTCTAAATCAATTCTTTGGTTTTTCTTTCTCATATTTCCTTTTTATATAAATATATTATTATTTTAATATTAAAAATAATTTTATTTTATATTTATTTTCCATGACTCTATATATTCATCATCAACATAAATACTATTATAATAAATATGTAATAGATTATTTATTTTCTCTTATATAAAAAAATAATCATTTCTATGTGTCTATGAAAACATAGTTTTTATTTAATTTTTCTATATCTTTTTCTAACAAAGCCAATTCTTTCTCACATTACTCCTTTCTAATATTATAAAATCAATATATACTTTCTTTTTAATCCTACAGTGTCAATCATTCTTATATGTGTAATTGATTAATACTCTTTATTCACAGATTCCCATTTCTTTTTTAATCCTAATTTTAAACGTTCTACTTCTTCAAGAGTCATTAAATATTTTTATTTGTCCCTTTCCTCAGCTTCATTCATATGCATATTTCTAATGATTTCATATTCATTATTGATGCTGCTTTAGATTTTAGTTAAATAATCTGGTACTTTTCCATAATCTTTTTTTTCAGTCCAAGCTTTCTCTTCTGTAATTTATTTTGGAGCTGAAAGTATATTTTCAACTGCATTCGTAACAATAAAATTCTTATTTGATTTGAGTCCATGAATTGGTTTTTCATCTTTTTTTGGAACTGCCGCCTTGCATGATTGTGGATACTTGAATGATTAAACTATCCTATAAAAATAGATGATTACTCTCAGGCAATTAATTAGATCCCATTGTTCCAGTATTCTTCATCCTAAACATTGTAGCATCTGGCTTATATGAACCTTATTCAATATTATAAATTACCCTTAGGTTTTCCAAGAGAATGTGATTAACCCTTATGAGTATGTGGTCCTTTTACTAAGTCAAAATCACCATTAATGTTGTTGACCTAAATATTAATGTATAGCAACCTTAGGTCGACTGGTTGTATGATTGTTGAAGGTACTGGCTGTTGGTACCAAACCATTAGGATAAGCTGATCTATACATTGGTTCTTTAGGTGGAGGTACATACTCCTTTGGAATCAAATTATATATGCTTTCCTGTTACATTTATTTTTATTTTTTAATTTAAATCTCTTTAATTTAATTTACAATAATGCCTTATTTATCTAATATATATCTATTAAAAAATAATAAAGATGGAGTCATTTAAAAGGATATCTTCAATTATTTATAACACTTCAATATTTTAAAATAAATTATTTAATAGATATACATTTTTTGATTAAAAAAGTGAATAATTTGTAAAATATTTATATAAATATTTAAATATTCTATCTTGAATCAATGTAATTTTATCTTGAATTTCTGATTTAACCATTTCATTCTTTGTGTTTTATCATAATCCTGTATAAAGTTATGTATGAAAACTTGGATTAAGTTTCAAATTAAAAAAAAGATTGAAAATACTTAAGTATATAATGTAAATAGAAAGAATATTATATAAAATTAAGTAAATTGATTATATTTAGTATCATTTTATGATATCATAATTGAAGTATTATATAAATAAAGTGATTGAGTTTTTTTATAGATATTTAATATTGATAGATATGGAATGAAAGATTTGATAAATTAAGTAGAAAATTCATACAACATTAAAATAAGATAAAAAGTGTTTGCAAGGGATGTAATTTAATTAGTTATAATAAAATTATATTTATATGGGTTCATGCAATTAATGCGTTTAAAGACAAGAACCTTTGTAATAAGTAACTGTAGAGTACAATACTGTGAATTTATTACAGCACAATCATTAAATGGCAATAAGAATTTAGACAACATATCGTGCATATATTTGTCGATAGAGATTTAAGTAAATGTTTAAGTGTAAGAATTAGATAAGAATTGGCAAAGAAAAGATCTATGAATCAAAAGAGAAGTAATTCAACTGATGACTGTTTAATTGAACATCACACAAACTCTTATTCACCAAGAATGAATCCTCAAGATGGTCATAATGTAATAACTATGGCTATCTATAATGCCAAAAGGAAAAGTCTTTCTCATTTTGGAAGGGAGCATAGTGCTAAATTATAACCAAAAGAATCAGATTCATTAAATGATAGTCAATCTGAGTAAGTTGAACAAACACCATTGTAATAGAGTACATCTCCTCCAATTAAATCTCTACGATCCTCATAAATCTAATCTAAAAAAATGCAATCATTTAGATTTCGATGTGTGTTGACTCATGAAATATTAGAACCTAGAGATAAGATTAAAATATAAAAAACAAATACAAGAATAAAGTTAGATGCTATCAAGTTAGTAGGAGGAAATATTTATATTGGTGAATGGTTAGATTAGTTGCCTGATGGTAAAGGAAAATATACATTTTCTGATCAATCATTTTATTAAGGTGAATTCAGTAAAGGTTGTCTACATGGTCGTGGAGAATTTAAAAGTAAGGAAGGTAATACATATAGAGGTTAATGGCATTATAATAGAATGTAAGGTTAAGGTAGTTACATATATAATAATGGTTGTAAATATGAAGGTATAATTTATAGTTGATTTTTAGGAAATTGGGAGAGAGATCAACCTAATGGAGAAGGAATGGAATGGTATGCTAATGGATCAGTATATGTGGGTAATTTTTTGAATGGAGAAAAACATGGATTTGGAAAAATCACATTCATAACAGGTGAAATCTATGAAGGAGAATTTGAGTTTGATGATTTTAATGGGAGAGGAATATATGTAATTTTGACAGTAGATTTATCTAGAGATGGCAAGATGGTAGAGTATATGATGGAAATTGGGTTGATGGAAAAATGAATGGAAAAGGTACATTAACATGGCCTGATGGAAGATATTATTAAGGTGAATATATAAATGATCAAAAAAATGGTTTTGGTATATTTCAATTTGCTGATGGTCGTAAATATGTTGGATTATGGAAATAAGGACTATAACATGGATAAGGTGAATTTTTTAAAGGTCAAGAACAAGATCCAACAAGAGGCATTTGGAAATAAGGAAAACTAGTTAAACTTCTATGATCTTAACTGCTATAAATTTTTCTTCTTTTATTGAGAATCTATTTATGTATTATTTATATCACTTAAAAGTTGATAATTCTTTAAATACTACTATTATTTAAGTTTATTTCAATAATCATAAATTAAATCTATTTAATTATTTGTTTATAATTCTATATATATTTATATTTGATAAATTCTTACTTTCATTTTCATTTAAAAATTATACATTATTAAAGAAAGTAATATAAATCAATATAATATTGATAATATTAATTGATTTTCAATTTAATAAATTAAGAGAATTTAAATTAAAACAAAAGAACAATGAAACCATGAAAATTTATATATATTATTATAATCATGTTAATAATTTTCCCAAATTGATTTCATGAGTATTCCAATTATTACCTAGTTTATTAATGTAACCCTAAGACGAGACTTCTAACATTATTATACATATTCAAGAAGAATGTAAAATTGTTATTGATTTCACTCAATTAAGGAGAGAGCATTACAATGTATTATCAAAAAAAGAAAAAGATGAGGCAGTGTAAATGCTAGGACCAAATCCTTTGTTTGATGATTTTAAAAGAGTAAGTTAGGCAATTGGAACTACTATAAAAAATCTTAAAAGATGGTAAAGATGTGGTACTGAAAGAAAAAAAGGTTGTGGTCGTAAAAAACTTAATCCTTATGCTGAAAAGTAATTGATTGAATGGGTTATACAGAGAGTTCATTAAATACGCAGAAAGATCTCTAGATAAGAATTAAAGTGCAAAGCTTTAGAGTTATTCAAAAATCAAAATTTTTGTGCATCCAAAGGATATCTGGATAAATTTGTAAAATCCTATTAATTAAAACAAAGGATGAATGAGTAATATATTCTTATAAACTATAGTATCTTAAAAAGTATTGGAAAATTAAAAATAAAGAACTTTTCCAAAAAACAATAATAAGGTGATATCAAAATTGAAGAAGAACTATAAGAAATTACTGTTAAAAAAGAAGAAGATGATATCAAAATAGAAAATCTTAACTTAGAATCCAGTAAAAGTTGCTCAGCATTTTAAACCTAATGAATTTGTTTTATATTTTTTGAATAGTATCTCATTTTTATTTTTGATTGTCTTTATATAAAAATCTATTAGTATTGTTTGTTTTAACATATAGCAAATTTTTAATAATTTAAGAAAGTAAATTTAAGATAACATATACTTTCACTTTTGAATATATATCATAATCTTAAATCTTAATCTTAATTATTTTATATTTATTAAAAATATTATGAATTGATTGGATATATTAAACCAAGAATTGATGGAATATAAATACTTATGATTATAAATTATAATATAAATAATTATAATTATGATAAAATCAATCAGTAACAGTGGCAAAGGTTTTATAAATTTGAATATCTGTCAAATTACGGCTATGCCTAGCCATACTTTATTTTTTTAATTTATCAGCTAATTTGACTTTTTCACTATCCTTTTTTATTTATTCAATTTATTATTTGAGATTGAGAACTATTTTAGCTGGTGTTGCAGGTTTATATTAAACAGGAGTTTATTATTTAGATAATCTTTCTGTTTATGCTTCATATTAACTTAATTCTTGTGCTTTAGATTGATTGAGTTCAATAATTAAAAGATCACTTTTAACAAATCCTGTGTAGTTCACACCTCCAAAGATAAATAGTCTATCATCAATAACAGCAGCAGAATGACTACATCTTCCAGATATTGGATGACCTCTAATTTCTACATAGGTCCATGATAGATTTCTGATTTCTAGAATATGTAAATCATTTAAAAATCCTTAAGTATTGATATCATCATTTTTGCCACCATAAATTACAATTTATTATGATAATTCCACATATGTCATTGAATGTTAGCATCTACTAATTGGAGTTTTACCTTTTGATTAGACTTCCTCAATAAATAAAGGTCTTCTTCTAACATCAATTTTTATTAATTTATCTAAATAATGTCCATTAGAATCTAGACCACCAAAGATATAGATGCCTTAGTTCTCATAAGTCATATCAGGATCATGTTTATAAATATCAATAGATTTATGTTCTAAAGTACAACAAGATTTATGGAATGCAATACCATCTTAAAATATTGGAGCATTAATTTCTATATTTTACCATCTTAATGTTACAATATCATAGGCAAGGAAATCATTCAAATATTAACCCTTTTAATCTATACCACCTTAAACTATTAGATATTTCCCAACAACTTCTGCAATATGTGCCTTTCTTGGAGATACTATACCAGCATGTAGTACATTCTTTATCTCATAATTTACTAAATTAATATGAGTAACTTCATTTGTTACTTCACAATGAATCCTATCTTCTTTAAGTGGTGAGTTTTAAATTCCACCAAAAATGATCAATTAACTTTTATATAAATTGGCTGTATGGTATGATCTACATTATATTAATTGTTTTAATTTTATCATAGTCCATTTATAGAATTCTATTATAAAAATTATAATACATTTATCAAATGTTGCTTAACAAAGATCACTTATATATCCAGCTCCTGATCCTCCATAGAGATATAGTTACTCATTATAATTTACCATTGCACTACTCTCTCTTGATGAAGGATTCCAACCATTATTTTAATTCGTATAAATATAAACAACAATTTTCTTGATCTCATTAATTAATCGAGATTTTGTAAGTTCAATTTATTATTTAATAAATTCAGTTTCCTAACGTACCAGTTCTTAACAACATCCCATTTATAATTATCTCTTAATCTATTATTAACGAAATTGATCTTTAGTTGAGATAGATGGATATGATTTCACTCCTTATGTTTCAATATGTATTCTTTGATATTCTTTATTTATTCCATCTAATTGCAACTTTAATTAAATTTCATTTTATCTCTTTNGATTGAGTTCAATAATTAAAAGATCACTTTTAACAAATCCTGTGTAGTTCACACCTCCAAAGATAAATAGTCTATCATCAATAACAGCAGCAGAATGACTACATCTTCCAGATATTGGATGACCTCTAATTTCTACATAGGTCCATGATAGATTTCTGATTTCTAGAATATGTAAATCATTTAAAAATCCTTAAGTATTGATATCATCATTTTTGCCACCATAAATTACAATTTATTATGATAATTCCACATATGTCATTGAATGTTAGCATCTACTAATTGGAGTTTTACCTTTTGATTAGACTTCCTCAATAAATAAAGGTCTTCTTCTAACATCAATTTTTATTAATTTATCTAAATAATGTCCATTAGAATCTAGACCACCAAAGATATAGATGCCTTAGTTCTCATAAGTCATATCAGGATCATGTTTATAAATATCAATAGATTTATGTTCTAAAGTACAACAAGATTTATGGAATGCAATACCATCTTAAAATATTGGAGCATTAATTTCTATATTTTACCATCTTAATGTTACAATATCATAGGCAAGGAAATCATTCAAATATTAACCCTTTTAATCTATACCACCTTAAACTATTAGATATTTCCCAACAACTTCTGCAATATGTGCCTTTCTTGGAGATACTATACCAGCATGTAGTACATTCTTTATCTCATAATTTACTAAATTAATATGAGTAACTTCATTTGTTACTTCACAATGAATCCTATCTTCTTTAAGTGGTGAGTTTTAAATTCCACCAAAAATGATCAATTAACTTTTATATAAATTGGCTGTATGGTATGATCTACATTATATTAATTGTTTTAATTTTATCATAGTCCATTTATAGAATTCTATTATAAAAATTATAATACATTTATCAAATGTTGCTTAACAAAGATCACTTATATATCCAGCTCCTGATCCTCCATAGAGATATAGTTACTCATTATAATTTACCATTGCACTACTCTCTCTTGATGAAGGATTCCAACCATTATTTTAATTCGTATAAATATAAACAACAATTTTCTTGATCTCATTAATTAATCGAGATTTTGTAAGTTCAATTTATTATTTAATAAATTCAGTTTCCTAACGTACCAGTTCTTAACAACATCCCATTTATAATTATCTCTTAATCTATTATTAACGAAATTGATCTTTAGTTGAGATAGATGGATATGATTTCACTCCTTATGTTTCAATATGTATTCTTTGATATTCTTTATTTATTCCATCTAATTGCAACTTTAATTAAATTTCATTTTATCTCTTTATTCGATAATATGCATCTCTATTATGCAACAATTCCATTTTTGTTGAACTATTTTTTTTTTCAATAGGACTTGCTGCAAATAAAGCCCTACTAAAATTATTCCACATAATTTTCGATTAATGAAGTGATCTTTATAACTCATCTATGGCATCTTAATTAAGCTACTTGAATGAAATAAAATGAGAATTATCCCCCTCTGGATGCTATTGAAGTAATTCTTATCCAGCTTCCTAAACAATTTATTAAAAAGATTCTAGAGGAAGAGGACTCATAATAGCCTTTTTCTATTTGTACTTTTCTAGAATATCAACAATATTAAGAGAATTTCGAGGAGATGATTCCAAACTACTCATTTTTTATAATTAATATCATTTTTTCTATTCCTACTATTATTGTCCAACATTAAGATCTCTAAGCACAACTACTTAATTTGTCGCTCTGTTATATTCCCAACCTCCAAAAATTAAAATATGGGGACCAATTGAAGTAGCTGAATGACCATATCTATTTCTTGGAGCATTACCTTCATATTTGGCTTTTTCCCAACACATTTTCTCAGTATTCAATACAATCAAATAATCAATATCTGGAGGAGTAGCAAAATTATTTTCGCTAATAATATAGATATGGTAAACCTTCTAGCTCCTGAATTTAAAGACCATCCTCCAAATACTACAATATCAGCACCACTGACATTGGCTGAATGTCCATATCTCGGAGCAGGAGGAGTTCCACTTACTCTTAACCTACTCCATGCAAAATGTTCAGTATCGAGAATTCTAATATCATTTAAATAACAGCTTCTTAAATATGAACCATGTCTAGGATTAGCTGTTTTGTTTAATGTCTTAAGTGATTTATCCTCTTAATAGTAAAAACCCCCTTATATGATTAAGTTAGCTCCCACTTATATTGCTGTGTGTCCTTAACGAGGAGTTGGAGCAGGACCTGTACATGGTGGCTAAGACCAAGCCATTACTTCTAAGTCTAGAGCATAAAGATCATTAAAATAATCAATTCCATTCCATCCCCCAAATATTATCATTTTTGTTGAGGCATACTATAATTTAATTATACCAAAATAATTACTAAAGTAGCAGAATGAGCAAATCTAGCACTTGGTGAACCAGATCCTTCAGGTCCCTAATACCATGTTAATGTTAATGGATCAAGAGCATGTAAATCTCTAAATACACATTTTTCTCCCTTTCCTCCAAATATTATTATTCTTTATCCTGCCAAAACTGCAGAATGAGCATATCTTGGAGCAGGTGGAGTACCTTATACTTTAGCTTTAAACCATCTATTTGCATTTACATCCATCTAATATGTGTCATTTAAGTATTTGTATCCCTCATCCTTATTTGCATAATAATGTCCCCCAAACAATATAATTGAGGCTCCACTTAATGTTGCTGAATGACCACCTCTTGCACATGGTGGAACTCCCTCAATTAATGGTTCTGCCCATTGCCATTTTCTTTAATCAAATGGTTGATATTTAAAGCCTTGTTATTATAAGTTATTACTTTATTAATCATCCTATTGTTCTTCTGGTTGATATTCTTAATACTCTTCTTACTGTTACATATCTTATTCTTCATCATCAAAATATTGTTATCCTTCCATATCAACATCTTAACCATCTCCTTAATCCTAATCTTCATCATATTGTTCCATATTATTTCCTGAGTATTATGAGTCTTCTCTACCTTCAGAATACATTAATAAATTTGAATTATTATATAATAATTTTCCTCACAAAAATAATTCTTCTTCTCTTTTTATCAAATTGCTTGTAAGATCAATTAGATTAAGAACCTTATTTACATTGTCTCCCCACTCTTATAAAACATCATTCTCATTCTTTTTTAATTAGTAATCAACTATTCCCAATATTCTATCAATTTTACAATTCAATAACTAGGTTAAATTTCATTCCTATACTTTTTAATCCATCATTAAGCAAATTTCTTCTTCTAATTCTTAAGTACTAATACCAATTTATTCTGTTATTCTATTTAAATAAACTGAATCATAATAAATTTAAAATATTCTCAAATTATGATGAATCAATTATCTTCTAAAGTCTATTAGTTATATATTAATTTAAATACCAATATATCTTTGTTTATTATTTTCAATATTCTCATCAAATATCTCAGCAGCTTAAATATTATGACTTTATGGTAAGGTACTAATTAATTCTGTTCCCAAAAAAGCTTAAATTAATTATTATATATTAGGCAATGCCTCAAGGCTGTATTTATAAGTAGAAACTATGGATTTTAATTATTTTTCCTAGATTATGATTATTTAAATACCTTTTCTTCAGAATATTAACTTAATATAGTATACATAGAATAATTTTCTAAAATTGTATTGTAATCAATTCTAAAATTAAAATCTACTTTGGTTGCTTCTAATTATTTATTTTTATGTAATGATTCAAGTATTTTTGAATAAGCATGAGCAGTTTCTTTGTAATTATTTTCATGTCTATAATAAATAACTAAAAATGAATAATAAATGATTTTAAGATCTGCAATATTATCATCTTCTATATTTTTAGGTTCAATCTTTTTAGAGATAATGAATAATCTAACATAATCTAATTTTTTAATCATAATTTTCATTTGATAGAGTATAAATTCTAATTTTTCTCTTTTATCCATAGATCCATAGGTTTCAACCTAAACTTCTTATAATATTTTAGCAGCATCAGCAATTTGATTATCATCTTCTTTATATTAAGTGAGCATTAAAACACATCGAGCATATTCTACTTCTAAGTAGATCTTTTTTTCACATACTTTCATAATGGCATCAATCATTTCTAATTTTTAATTTATTGGAAGAGTTTTTAATTCAATCATAGCCATTTAAACAAGTTCAATTTGTGCTTTTTTTGGTTATCCTCTCTTTTTACTAAGTTATACTATTAATTCATTAAATTTAGAGTATTATTTAGTATCAAAACATAGTTTAGCAATTTATTTAGTAATTTTCAATGTTTCAACTAAATTATTAGCTAATCTAGCTGTCTTTTCTTTATTAAGAAGATCTTCTATTTATTTATCAAATTCATTTTCTTCAATGATCATTTTGATTTTAAATTTAATTTATTCAATACTAATCTGAATGAATTATTTTAATAATGATCTATGAAGGCAAATAATCCATTTTCAGCCATTAAGATTAGTATGCTTTGATTAGACTTGTTAATTCAGAAGATGATGGAACCACTAAGAAACATGAAGAAGGTAAAACATCTTTCACATTAAAATTGGCTAAATAATTATCAACTTCTGGAGTAGGTGATTATTTGGATAGCATAAATGTTTTTTTAAGTTTTCTACTTCCAGTGATTCATTTAATAGATTGTTACACATGGGAATAGGGTGGAACTTAAGATGTAGGAGAAGCTTAGGCATATATTACAGTAAATTCAAAAAAATAATAAGTTCTTAGATTCCTGAATTAATATGTTACATTTATTTTCTTCTTGATTTTGCAATTAACTTTTACCTTTCTGAAAATAAATTGTTTTTTACTTTCCAAACTACATCATTAATTGAATATGTTTCAATATTCCCATCTTTACTTGCAAGATTGAATATAATCACAGGATACAAATATATTTACTTGTTAAGAGTACTACGATTTTTATTGTGCTATAAATTAGATAAGGTTTTATAGCGTTAATCAATGGAAGGTAGTTGATAGATTTGATTTAGAGTATTTAGGTTAGCTTATAAACCAATAGTAACAGTGATGGCTATAATTATTATCAATTCGTCAATACTATATGTAGTAGAACAAGATTATTCAATAGTAGAATACATTTATTTTATGGTTGTCACTATCTCAACAGTTGGTTTTGGTGATGTATATCCTACAACAATATATGGAAGATTTTCTATTATTATAGCAATTCTAATTATGTTTTTAGTATTACCAACATAAGTAGAAATGCTTACTCGTGTTTACAGTTTAAGAAGTTAATTTGCAAGAAACAAATATATTACAAAAACAGAATAAGAACATATTTTATTACTTGGATCCTCTTAAGTTGAAGGATTTAAGACTTTTTTGAATGAACTCTATCATAGTGATCATGGTTTAAATGACATTAATACAGTCATCTTGTAAAATTAAGCTCCAACTGAAGAAATGACTATTTAATTAAAACAACCTGCTTTGTCTTAAAAAGTGATATATTTAGAAGGACATCCATTATAAAATAAAGATTTGGAAAGATGTAGTTCCAAAGATTGTAATTGTGTAATAGTATTGGCAAATAAGACAAGTCATACTCCAAAGAGAGATGATTATCGAAATATTATTCATGCATTTGCTGTTAAATAATATGCAAAAAAATAGAAGTCTCGAAAAGGTGCTAGAGTGTGTTTATAAGTTTTATAACCATAGAGCAAAGATTTATATTTTAATGCTTTAGGTGGCCATGAAACAGACTAAGTAATATGTGTAGATGAACTTAAACTTTATCTTTTAGGTAAAACATGTTTATGTCCTGGAATCAATACTTTAATTTCATTTTTAATTTAATCATCAAAGCCTTCTTATGATATTACAAAGTATGACAAAAATAAATGTGAATGGATTGATGATTATTTATGTGGAATGTAAAATGAAATTTATAGAGTACCTTTAGAATCTGAAGCATTTGTAGGTTTGACTTTTAGTTAAGTAATAATTATATTAATATTCTTTAGATTTCACAAGCTATTTACAAAGAATTAAATATCATTTTATTTGCTTTAGAAGTTGAATTAGAATCAGGAACAAATGTATTTGTTAATCCAGCTGATTATTTATTTGAAGATTATTTGCATTATGGATATGTTATAGCTACAGAAATGCCAAGCATAGAATAGATTCAATAGACTAAATTCCCTGATTATATTTAAAAGAATTATTGTTTCCCTAATGTACAAAGATAAACAAATAATAAAAATGCACTTCAGTAGGAGACAGAATATTTAAAAGAAATATTGAGTGAAGGTATTAAAGAAGATAGTTAGAAACATACTTCTTATTATTAAGTCAAGCCATAGACTATTACAACTGGACTTCCAAAAGTAGGAGATTAAGAAAAATTTGAAAATCATTTTATTGTATGTGGTGTTGTAACAGATATGAAATATTTGATGATGCCTTTAAGAGCTAGATCACTTAAGAATATACAACCTATAATAATTTTAAATTAAGATTTGATACCAACAGAAATCTAATTATAAATTAATAAATTTCCTAAAGTATATTTTTTATAAGGATCTCCTTTAAATACAGAAGATCTTAAAAAAGCTTGTATTTAAAAAGCATCAGCATT